GATTTTGGTCGCGACCCGAATCAAATTTTCCTATAAGGTTCAGTGTAAATACGGTTAATCCGTTCTGAACCATATGTATTTTTTTTTAAATCACAAAAATATGACACAAAGTACAGTATAGTACACTATGAACGCTGAGAGAACTCTAACCTTGCTTGAGATGTGGAGGACAGGAAGGCAGGTGGGGAGGCGGTTATTGTTTGGAGGGAGAGTCCCCCTCCCTACAGGAAGCCATGACTACGTGTCACAGCAGGGAAAATGGCCGCGGATCCTGTTTGTCACCCGATGCGGAGTTCGCGAACAAAAGCAAAATTTTGCGAACGGTGCTGTTTGTGACCCAAATTGGTCGTGAACAGAAGCATTCGTGACCCGAGGTACCACTGTAATTGTAGTAATGGTTGTAATGTAGTAATGTAACTGTTAATATGTAATGTACTTCGCCCAGAGTCGCTCTGCTGTGCTATATAAATATGAAAAATAAATAAATTAAATAAATAAATAATGTCCCATTAGATTTTCAGAAGTTAGCCCCAGAATGCAAGATTTCAGCATCTACACTTTAAATTACAAATGCATTACAGGGTTTGCTGTAGCAAACAACAATAAAGAAGAGATACTATAGGAAATTTTCATTTTGCTGATGTTTGCAGAACTGTTTCTGAGTTAATTGGAGTTAATGCATGGGGGGGGTGCGCGCGCACATGTGCGTGCATGTTACATGTACACTTAAAAACAGTGAAGTGTCTATACCCTTGAGAGTATTCCTTTATTTTTCTGCAGCTATCCACCAACCGAGATGCTCAGGAGGGAGACCGCTTCTCCAGGCTATGATTGTTGTCACTGGAATTAACCCCACTGACCATTTGGTTAGCCCATCCGTACCCTCTAGCAATAGACCTAGTACCCTCTTGAATAGACCTAGTAATAGTAGATGATATTTTATTTGCTGCAAGTCAAGTAACTGTAGCTATTGCACTGGCACGTGGCTAAGCAGAACAGAGATGATTAGATTTGTTTGGGCCCACTCAGCTGGCTCTGCATTTAGTAATTGCCTGGTTTTGTTTTTGTTTTTAAAAAGTGTGTACATCAGGATCAAATTCTTTTAATGTATCTGTCATATTTTCTGGCGTCACGTTTTCAGTGTCATAGATTATTCATGTTTATAGTCAGACTTAAAACTCTCCACTATTTCAGCATGAAACTCTAAGAAGCTTATGTCACTCCAGTACTTGTTTTTATTCTTATTAAATATTCAGGCAGATGAAGCACTGCTTCATTGGCACAAAACCAAGTTTTGACTATAAAATATCACCTATAAAATGTTTATGTTCCACATTCCATTCCACGTTTTAAGGTCTTCAGTCACTACCAAGGTTAATCTCGGTACCATTCAATCCTTATTCTTCCTGTTGAAGCCAGATGTTTCCAGATGGGAGTCATCCTCCTCAGGAAATCAGATGTGGACTTTTGAATATGTGAAAGAAACGCTTTAACCAGCTGCAGCAACTTCACTATACCAGTCAGAGATCCTTTCAAAGCAGGTTCTTTGAGGAATAATGGATTTATAGACTGTTGGGAAAGAGCCAAAATGAGTAGAGCGAACATCTTCAAAATCACTTATTCCCAGGTTGTACTGACGTTGCTCCATCAGAGTGATTGTCCCTTGAGTGACTATATATTTAAGCAATATTTTGTTTTTTAAAGCACTAACTTTGAGGTTGGAGTACCTCAAATGTTTAGGAAGCAATTTGGCATTTTTTTTCTGGTGTGTGTGTGTGGGGGGGTGGATTAGCTATTTTTTTTTTTCCTTTAGCCAACTCATGCTAAAATGTTATTTTGAGCAATTCTCAGGCAGCTTTATTTCTCCTTCTCTAGCATCCTATGCTATATAGCATCTTGTTTTATGTCTTTCTGTATCAAATACAAATTCTGTACCCTCCAGATATCTAGAGAAATGAGGGTCTTGCTACATTTAAGATAAATAGGCAAAACGTATATACATGCACAATTTTCTCACCTTTAAACACAAATAAAAGTAAGGGCTTTTTCCCAGTTTGGGGAAAGATGAGTTTAAACTAAAAGTACAGTATCATTTCTGAAATACCATGGATGTTGCTTTTGATTTTTCTATGCCACAGTCTTTTGTCACTTCCACTTTGTGACTGAGCTGCATTAAAGCTTCAGGGCACTTCTTTTCAAGTTCTATGAAATGAGATTTAAGAGTCACAAAGGCTCTGTGCCAGTGGGATTCTTCTGCAGTAGGCACTTTTTGATTGTCCACTGAAGACTGCCTAGCCTGCAGAACAATCAACAGAAGGTCTTCCAGCTGAGTATTTAAATCAACACTGAAGTCATACATGAGAAAAAAGAATGATCTAATGCAGGAAAAAGACGTTAACCTTTCAATCAGTCTGCAGAACTCATCACATTTTAGGATATATTTATGTCTACTGAACTACCAACAATCTACATAGAAAATACACCTCTTTGTTCTAATTGGGCTCAAAATAATCTTCCCTAATTAAAATAATCAGGGTGTGGTAATTATTTGTACACGTTCAACATTTGTAAAGAGAGTCTTGCCTGGCAATTCTGCACATTTCTTAGTCAAATAAAATCCCAGTGGGTTATTCCCAGTTCTAAATTTCATATGCAGACTTCCCTGAAATTAAACACTACCAAAAAATGGGTTGACTTAATAGAATTGAATGTGAATAGGAATAGACTAATCAACTTATTTCAGATCTGTGTATTCTATACATTAATCTGTGAACCTGCAATTCTTTATTTAAATCTGCATCTCCAAAAAGTCATTTCCTCATTTTTTAATGTTTCTCAGAAAATACGCTTTTCTAAAGTAATCACTTCCTTCTTTCCTTTCTGAAATATGAAGGGTAATTATATTCCAATCTCTGCATTACTTTGAGATGTAGATCAGGTTGGTTTATTGTGGGAAACAAACACTTTGAATATCTCTGCTTATTATTTAATTGTCTGAGTTATAATTAAGAAATTAAAGCATTAAAATATCTGTGTTTAAAAACAAGATATTCTGAAGAAAGAGAATTACTTTGTTTTTTTAAGAAATGATGATATCCAGAGGTACCAGACATAATCATACAGTATTCTCACCCATGTAGATGATTGCACCTTATAATCATTTTTGTATATCTTTATATATTAAAAATAATTACTTCATTTATTTTCCAGCATAAAACAGCTGAATTCAGAACTGAAATAACTAAGTTTTATTCTGTTTGTTCTAGTCTGTTTAGAAACGACATTTGCTTTTCCTACTTAGTTAATTCACTCAAGTGACTATTACCATTCCCCCCCCCAAGTTTTAATGTAGAATTCAATTGCCAAAATTTGTTCTTTTTAATTTCACTAAATGCTACCTTTTATAGGCATGTGCATAAAATGTGCAGATGAGGGTACCATTTTAGCTTTATTCAGGCATTGTTGTCTGATAAAACTCTTCTGCAGCTGTCTACATCTGCCATGGACTTCTTCAGGAAAGCCATATTTGTGTTAATAGCCATAGATGCAAAGATATTATACTGTCCCACCTTGCAGAGATTCACAGTCTTTTATGTTACACAGGATGTTTTGGTGTATTTATAAATTTATGAAAAACAAATTTGATAAATCATGTATGCCTTTTTAATTGGGCAGTTTTTAAACTGTTCAATTGACTTGCCAAATTTTACCTCCATTTTTTTTTTTGCATTTTTGCAATGTTTTATTCTTTGTTAAATTATTTTGCTAATATTATGTTCTAAAATGCTGCTATATAACTTCTGCACTACAGCAAAATTCAAATATTTCTCTAACAAACAATAGTTTAAAATTTGCTTTGTTTAAATTTTAACATCCTGTTTCTTGATTGTTGAATGTGTTTATATATTTTTCAGACCCATTTCCATTCAGCAACAAAAGTCACTTCTCTGTCTGCAAAGGTCATTTACTATCAGGTTTACTGTATACGCCCAATTTCATATTGCATAATAAATCTTCAGCTGCCCTGATATGTGACAGTGTTGAAGGTTCAGTCAGAGGTTGACTGTATCAATGTTTAATGGATGTCTCACTAAAAAAAATTAGCACATGTTTTCAGTGAAAATAAATGTTCTTTATGCAATCTATTTTATGAGGCATTAAAAAAAAAGTCGCTGCTTCTCCATTTTGCAGAATTGTTTTCCTTGTGGACTAGAACATTTTTCAGAACTGTTGTACATAATGCCATAACTTACTGGATTTAAAAAATTAGGCTGGAATAATTTTATTCAAAACTACCCAGAACTCATCTGTTTCTGATGGACTTAAAACTCAAACTCTGAGGAAGAATCCTCATAGCTTCTCTTCTGCCTCATCTATCCAGTAGTCTAAGGCTTCAGTGGCACTTTAGAAACCATGCCAACATTTCACAAGGATGGACTTAGTGGAGCATCAAGTTCTGCCAGTCTTCTGAAGTCCTCATTTTTCTATTGCTGTAGATCTGCAGGATTCCTGAATTGCGAGACCCAGAGCTCATTCATTACACCTTGTCAGAATCTAGGTCAAAGCAGAAATGTCAATCACTTCTGGTCTCAGAACTATTAGTATTAGTATTAAGTGATTTGTAATCAGGTATGAGCCACCTTCACAGGCATCTGTGAGCCGCAAATGATGAAAGCAGCATAATGCTGTGGGACATCAGCTCCTTCCCATTTAT